TCATGGGCCTCCCTGGGTCTGCCACACTGAACTGTTCCCAGTGTTTCAATGCTCCATGATACTTTGTGCTTCTGGACCTCTGCCCACGCAGATCCCTCTCTGGAAAGACTTTCTAAATCTCATCTGCCTGGGAAACTCCCACCATCTTCAAACTGGCTAATATTCAGATGCCTTCTCCAGAGCAACAAAAACACAGTGCTTAAAGTAGTCCTCAGCATGCAGCATGAACTCAAATCAGACCTGAGAGATTCCAGAAGTCACCATCAACATCACGCCATCTCCATCGGCTCATCAGAGCAGCAGAATTCTATCTCAAAAGTAGACTTTGAAAGGGCAACATATACACACAAGAAAAGAGGCCAAGAGATGAGGTCCGCAGACAAGTCCAGGCTTGAAAGGTCTTCTCTGCCAACCTGCTCCAGAAACTCAATCAAGTAATCTTTTCTGACTCTGAGTGGGGCCAGAGAGTCGTGGATTCAAATCCCATCTCAGTCACTTAACCTCAGTTTCCTTGTTTGAATAACAGACAAGGCTACCACTAAATTTCTTATGAGTATTAAATTATGTATAAATTTTGGATATTTAATAAATATTTCCTCGTATCTCTGACTAGAAAGTGCATAAACATGAATATTTTATGTATACGTGGTACACACATGTCAGTGCATGCGTGCGCACATACACACGACCCATGGCAGAATTACACACTAACATCTCAATACTCTGAAGGCAGAGTTATCCCCTGCCTCTGATTCAGATCGAAGGAACATGCCCAAACTCTGAATTCCAGTTTGGGAGCCCTAAACACAGGATCTCAGTTCTCCCATCTCTCCTGCTTTTAAACCACAATTGTCAAAAACACACTTAAAAACAATGCGACATCTCATTCCACCTTGGAAACCTCTACTCAGATCCATAGACTATATGCAGATGTGAAAGGAGATATTCAATGCACCATCTTTTGGGGGGACAGGTACTTCCCCAAATCACCCAAAGATGGTTATGCTTTGGTTTATACATCACTAACAGCAAGCATTTGCCATCAAAGCTCTCTTTATCTATAAATTTAATAAGTAAGCTATTTTAGTGATATTACTTACAAATGGCAAGTCTGTTGTTTGAAAAAACACTTTCATTCATGGCTGGTAAATACGCAACTAGTAATAACTGAGACTAAATTTGGCAACATAAAACTAGAGTCTTAAAATATACATTTCTCAAATCCAGTAATTCCACTTTGGAGAATCTCACCCCAGGAAATAATCTGGACTTCGGAACGAGCTTTAGATACCAAGATATTCACTGTGGTGTTTTTATAATGATGAAGAGTCATAAAAAATCAGATGTCTAAAAGCAGAGGAATTGGTTAGCGAACTGGTAAGATAATGTGACAACGGTCACTGCTAAACTGTCTGTCTTTATCTGCTTGTTCCTCACCGGATTTTGGGCATTGCGAAAGTAGGAACTCAGAAGATTGAATAATTACAAACACACACGCATTCATGGCTGTATGAATTAGACAGACAGATACGTAACAATTTGGAAATATACACGTGATGCAAGATTAAGTAATAACAACCAAAAGTTCAACATTATAAATAGAGAGATTACAACTGTGTCAGATCCCACAGACAGCCTAAAAAGACCAGAAGAAAATAAACTACGAATCAACGGACACAGAGTGACTTCTAAATAACTGTGTCATTTTTCCTTCCATATCGTTGCTCTGTTTGAATTTTCTGTGACTGACAAATATTATACTAGGACTGATCTCTTGAGATTTGTGTGAAGTTCAAATGTTTAGTGCAATGCTGAAGACAAAATGAGTTTCCATTAAATATTCAGAAGTTTTGAAAAATACATTATTGATCTTAATTAAATACTGCTGTTTATCTTCTTTCCTTCCATTAAATTCCCACAAAATGAAGCAGAGGGCTACCCACAAAGATACCAGAGAAAGAAAAAAAAACCCACAAAAAGAATCAACAGCAGACAAGGGACTTCAACACACTTTTAGATGAAGAAAGGTGTGTGGCTCAGCCTGTTATCCCGCACCTTGGGAGGCCGAGGTGAGTGAATTGTCTGAGCCCACGGGTTCGAGACCCGCCTGGGCAACTTGGCAAGACCTCATCTCTACAATAAATAAAAAAAAAATAGCCGGGCATGGTAGCAAGCGCCTGTAGTTCCAGCTACTTGGAAGGCTGAGGCAGAAGGGTCACTGGAGCCCAG